CTGGGCCTTCCAGGCCTTGTTTTAATACCTGTGGAGATAGCAGCCAATGAGACAAAGGCAGTGGTAATTCAACAGGAGAATAACAAGAGCAAGAATGGAGTGAAATACTGAGCAGGGTAGAAACCAGTAGGTTCTAAAGCAAGAGCTCTGGAAAATCTTTAGGACTCCAGAGGGTGGCTCCTCAGCAAGCCCTCCCTCAGGAATGTGGAGCCTGGCTTTGGCACTTGGGCCCGTGCTGTTCTCATCACTAAGGGAAATGCTTCACGCGGTTCTGTCTCATCTCCTCCCTTAGAGGGGTGATACTGGGAACCACTGCTGATAAGTGGGCTTAGAAACAAGCTGCACGGCATCCCAACATCCTGAGGTACACAAGATGTATTTTCTTCCAAGGCTAAAATAGGCTTAGCTGGTTGGATGAACCACCTGTCTTGGCTTTGCTTCCGTGGCTCTACTTGTTTAGTATCACAAATTCCATACAAGCGAACCTGTCCTTGGTTCAGAGCCCAGCCTCATTTGAGCATTTCTAGTAGCTGGGACAGTGCATGGTTAAAGTCCTGAAAAAAATTCATTCTGGTTTCTCCAGTTGCTTGGAAATTACACAACAGTACAAAGGAGAAAAACTAGCATAGAGAGAGAAAGGAAGGAGCACTGGATGGGTACACAGGCACTGGATAGGTCCACGGGTGAGACTGCTGCCCAGCGGAGAGGAAGCTCCAGGACTCTAACAGACCCCGCTTCCCTTCTGTTCCCTCCACAGCCCCCTAGGAGTGGCTGGGTGCATGTGGACAAGGTGGCTCGTGACCAAACTGAACGAGGAGGTCCTGGGGAGCTCGGGGGTCACTGGCCGGAGGCCCCAGAGCCTCACTTTGCACCCTGGATGGACAGAACATGTCTATATTCCTCTAAAGCAAAACATTCTGCACTGGAGAGAGATGCAGCCACCTGGGAGGGAAACTTCATGATGACAGTCAGCCCCCGCCTCACTGTCTGCAGTTCATACATTCAGGAGGGACATCAGCTAGTGACAGCAAGGCCAAAGTGAGGTCTGGGCAAAAAATGTCCCTCACACCTGCGCTTCCCACAGCCCACCCCAGCACGCAGGAAAGCACATTATAAAACTACTGAGGCTTTTTTTTTAAAGCTTAACTCTTGGACTTTGAAGAGTTTAATCAAACCCTCCATAAAAGGTCAGTCTCCTTCGACTTGCCTTTTCCATTTTAGCAGCACAAATGCTGCACAAGGCAGAGAAAGAAAAAAGTAATTTTACCAATCCACTGAGCTGAAGCTGGTTTGCAACCGCTGGGACCATATTTCATAGAAAGCCCACATCACTGGAGCCTCCTCGAGAGTAGCACCGGAGCTGGTCACATTTTAGCTGGCAGCTTGAGAGGACAAATCTGTCTTCCAATTCAGGGGCATTACTGGAGCTTTAAGTAAGTGTTCAGCCTTTAGCACCTTAATTCCATGGGCTCCCTGGGGTGGGCTGTGTTAGAGGATTACCAGCCACTAGACTGATGTGCAATTTTCTGCCCTCTCTTGTGTTAATCTCTGAAATGACTAAAGATCAGTGATTATGAGTTTGGCTCCTGGGCTCCAAACACTTAAGGAAAGAAAAGTCAAATAATCATGAACAAAAGCAAAATAACAACACCCACGCTTGCTTTGTGCTACTCTGCACAAGCTCATTTGCTTAATTTTTTTTTTTCCAGGCCGGGGATTGAACCCGGAGCCTTGTACATGGTAGACGAGTACTCTACAACCAAGCCACACTCCCAGGGGCCATCAGATTAATTCTCCTAAGAGCTCCATGAAGTTGACACTATTCATCTTGTAGTTCCAAGGGGCAAGGCAGAGCATCGTGACCTGGGCAGTTGCATACAGCTAGGACTTATGAAGCCAATATTGTAGCAGAAAATGGAGCCCCTCCCGCCATGATGTGCAGTCTACAGCAGCTTCTTAGTTGCCCAGGTAACAGTTCCTGTTCCAGTTCTAGTTGCTCCTGTCTCTGAGAAGCGGCTGATCACTGCGATGCACAGCTCGTTGCTATATGCATGCTGTATAAACCAGTTCTCTACTGACAAGTCATTCTGCCTCTGTACTTCCTGCTTATTCCATGTAAGCACTAGACCACCAGAGGCCAGGGCCTGACATTCTGGCAATGATCCCGATCAGTGCCTGTTGAGGCAAATAAATCTGCCTCCAAATCCCAGGGGTCCTTCTGCTTGCTACTGCAATGTGTTTGCCCAGGACTCTCCAGCTAGTTTTACTAACTGGCCACTACACAAACTATAGAGTCATAAACTGTCTTAGTCTGCAAGATACCAGGAAACATCTAATAGCATGAATTCCTTTCCCCAAATTCCGAGGCTGTAAGGTCAAGCTCAAGGTGCTGGCAGGTTGGAGTCCAGCGAGTGCTGTTCTCCTCTTCAAGCCGCAGCCTGTGTGGTGTTCCTTCCACGTGGAAGGGGCTGCGTTTCTCTGGGATTCCTTTCCCGAGGCAGTTAGTCCCATTCATGAGGGTCTCCCTTTTGGCCAGAGCAACTCCCCAAAGCCCACCTTGCAATGCCGTCACCTTGGCGGGGAGGTCATCTACTTAGGAATTTGAGCGTAAGGCACAGGCTTTAGACCCCAGCACTGACTTAAGAACTAACCCCATGATGTTTCTACAGAGCACTGAGCTGCAAGCCTGTAAGACAGGATCCACCGCACATGATCTCTAGGTCAGAGAATGAATCACTATGACCACTGACGACAGCCAGCTTGTCCAATGGGATTGCAAGTGACTTTTGTTGTTGTTGCTTTTAAGACACTTTATTGAGGTGTTCACATTTCTGTGAAAAGGCTTTCTTTCATATGATACTAAAGGCCTCGGGACTTGAATTTGTCTGTGATCTCAGCTATTGAAGCTGTTAATTCTGCTTGCTTTGTGTTCCCCAAATCCCCTTTGCATTGATTTGTTCTTTGTTCTGTCTCTGCCTTCCAGAAGCCCATCCTTTCCAGGGACTGGAAAAGTCACTGTAAAAGGCCACCTTGTGATTATTCTAGGCTTCAACTCTGCGTGATAACTATGGGTAATCCAAAACAAACGGGAGTGAGGCTGTGTTCTAACAAAACTTTATTGATAAAGTAAGGCAATGGGCAGGATTTGACCCATAGCTTTTGTGTGCTCACTCCTGCACTAAACGGCACACTGCCTGGTTCACCGTTCATCTTCTCCAAGGTCTTGGGCTGTGGTCACTTCCCTCTTTGGGTGTCTCTCTGTTCCTCCACTGGTTTGGCTCCAAGAAGAAGAGCCATATATCAGACTGGTAAATTTAAGAAGCATTAACTGGACCCAATAGGCTCCAATCTGCTCCTTTTCTTTTGGTCATCCCTGTCCTGAAGGGACTGGGGCTTCCACTCTGCTTTTTCCCGGTTCCCAGTCCTGCAGCCGGAAGGGTAAATCTGCCCAGTTCTGAGATTCAGATGTGCTCAGTCCTGCAGTCTGGGCATTATCTTTAATAAGTATGTACCTCAGGCCCTATCTGCTTAATCTTTCATCCTAGATTCATCCTTAATCTTTCATAGCACAAAGGTGTATTTACCAGGCTCCCTCAAAGTGGTGTGTCCTGAAATTTTTGTGTCCAAAAGCTGGTGACATTTTGTATTGTCTCAATTGAACAGCATAGACCGTAGAACATTTTACTTTTTAGCTACTTATCTCTTGCTGTGCAATATATATATATATATATATATATATATATATATATTTTTTTTTTTTTTAAATTCCTTAGCTATCATATAGGCATTGCATGCATAAACTGTAAAACATTTTTCATAAATGAAATCATTTGCAGATAGCGGTTTGTTTAAATATATTGTCCATAGGAGAAAACACAAGGTCCACGGTAGCAAGGTCAGAACTCAGTGTTTCAAACCCCACTCGGTCTCATAACCCTGGCACATGCAAGGCTAGGAGCATGGGCCACAGGCTCCTGAAGGCAGATGGTACAGGTTTTCCTACTGATGTCCCCCCACCCCCGCCCTGCCACACTGTTCACAGGCAGGCAGGCGAGCAGCTGTCAGATACAAAGGCCCCTGCTGAGAGCAGGCCGGGCTGTAGGCGCCACCTTCCTGTGCTAGAGCAGGCAGGACAGAGTGCGGGTGGACTCTAACACGAGCGTGGCGCACAACTCCAGGAGCTAGGGGTGCCCACTCAGGGTCAGTAGGGTGGGCAGCACGGAGGGCTGTAGGAAGGGTACCACGCCAGGCCTGCCCATGGTATGCAGCTCTTCTCTCGCTGAATTTCCACACCATCATCCCTCTGTGCCATTGGTCTCTGAGTCCTAACGTCTCCTTTGCCCACGGATGGACAGACAGCAGTCGCAACTGATCAGGCCGACCCCACTGAGCCCACTGTAATCTGCTTCCCCTTGCAAAGATGTCCTTCAGGGTACAGAGATGCATGGGACTGGGACCCCAAAGCGTGAATACTGGAGGGACAAAATTTAGCCCCTGCCAGCTGCTGAAGCTGGAAGCATGACACAAACCCATGGAGGGGGGTCTTGGGCTCTGGGACCGTGAGTGGACAGGAGAAAAACAGGTGCTCTTTGTGAGAATAGCTTGTGCACCGCAAGGGAATGTACCCCTTCCTCCCAGGAGCCTGATCTGTACACCTCTCCTGTGCTGCTCAGCCACAGAGACACGAAGGATAAGAAAGGCCCAGTCCTGAGTTATCAGTGCAGGACAAGGGTGCCCATCAATGTCCCTTTGCCACAATGACACCTTGCCTACTACATCCAGAGCAGCAAGACACGCGGGAGACTGGCAAAGACGGTGACACTGAAAGAACAGAGGACGGAATCTGCCGCTACTGCATCACAGTCCGGAGCAAGCCTGAAAAGCCCTGCGGCCTCCTACACCGCGGCCTGTCTGGGGCGGCGGGACTAGCGATCCAGTCCCAATCTTCCCCCTTCTCCAAGGTCTGCAGGCCGCCAGGGGGCTCCCTGCCCTCCTATGACGCCGGGGCCCGTGGCCTCCTCCAGGGCTGTGACGGCCGGGTCCCGCAGTCGGGTCAGCTCCCGAGCCCCCCACAGTCCAGCTCGGCCCCAGGTCACCCGCGGTCCGGGGCAGCCAGTACCCTCGACCCCAGGACCGCCCACCTGACCCTGCCGCTGGAAGTAGCTATGCTCCTCGGGGTCCTGGCGCCGCGGCGGGACGTAGCTGAAGGCCGACAGCGCCGAGAGGGGCAGAGAGCGAGGCTCGGGCCGCAGCGCTAGGGCTGCGGCCTCATCTCCGTCATCTGGGTCCCCCGGTCCCTCCAGGGCTTCCGGGTCCATCGCCCCAGGCCGGCTCCCAGCACTCCGCGTCCACTGTTGCCTGGCAACTGGGGCGGGGCGACCCCTGCCCCTCCCTCCAGCCCCGCTGGCCACGCCCCCACCTCCAAAGCAGGGTCCCTTCCCACAACCTGGTCACCTGGGAGCATTGATTGACCGACCCCAGCCCTGGGCTGGAGCCGAAGGAGGCGTGCCTGAAAGTGCCCAGCCCAGGGGGAGGAGGCGACCAGGCTCGGGCGCACCCTGGCGCTGTCCTTGAGAAACCGGAGGGACCAAGCTGCGTGTGCAACTCGCCATTTGCCAACGAGTTCTTTGGAAACATTAAAGAATAAGTAGATTTAACTGCTCTATCTACCTAACTCGGTATATGAGACGACATCCCTGCACCGCGTGGCACCTGCCCTTTCCAAGTGCAGAATGCTAGGCTCTGTGGACGGGGCCGTCCTGCTGGCCTGCAGGTGCGAGTTGGCCTTCACTGAGTTGGTCTGGAAGACTGACTGGGGCTCCAGCAGCCCTCTGCTCCCGGGGCTGTGTGGCTTCGGAAGCTTTAGGCTGCAGATCTTGGCCCGCCCCACCCCTCACAGTTCCCTGGGCCTCCTCTCCCTGGGCTGCCAGTGAGACAGACACAGGCTGTGTCCTTGAGGCCAGATGCCGTTTTCTCAGGATGTGTGCAGCCCTCCTTGAGGACTAGGGGCACTGAGGCTGGCGTGCCCTCTCGTCCTGTGTGAGGCTGAGGGACCCAGGGCAGAGAGCAGGGGTGGGTGGACTTGTCGGAAGATAGTGTTGGTAATTCTGACTGTTCAGAGTTTTTAGTGACATTCTGTAAGAAGTTGCTTTCGTGTGATCCTTGATGTGACACGTCAGATGCATGCTGGAATACACGGTAAGCACATACCTAGTGCCTCTGAAGTTTGAGTTCTCCCTGTCTGTGACATACAGAAGGGAAGGATCCCGGAAGCAGGAACAGATTAGTAGGCTGAGGACAAGTGAGGCCTGAGCTATGTGTGCAGGGTTATCCATGGTACTGATTCAAAGTCTCTTTCCTTGTTTTTCTCTTTGTCTTCTCTCTGTGCTGCCCTGGGTGGCCCGAGAGCACATTGGCTGTGCACACGGCGCTGCGGTGCCGACCCAGTAGGACCTCTGCTGCCTGCACCTGCCTGTGGGGAGCACGGAGCCAGTGCTTTGCTGGGGACCCAGAGCTCTGGCAATGGGCCCACAGGAGTTTGGGAGGTGGGCTGCTTCTTTTGACACGGAGCAAGAAAGAAACTCTTGGCAGCCTTGCTTAGAAGTCCATTTCCTTTTGATGTGAGGCAGAGAGACAGAAACCAAAGGAGACAACCGTCATGTCGCAATGTGACTCCGGCACATCCTGCGTGGCATATGCTGTGTGTACCCTGAGGTCTCATAAAGTCAGACTTTTTTCCTTAATGCAGTACTGAGGATGGCACGCAGGGCTTCCATCCTCTACCCTTTCCTTAATTTTCTGGAGACGGAGTCTCCCTAAACTTCGGCCCTCCTGCCTCCCAGAAGACTGAGGTCATAGGTACACACTACCACAGCTAGCTGAACTCAGATTTCTGAAGCTAGGATGTCCATCTGGCTTCTTATGCCAGATCAGGCACGTAAGCCCCACATCTCGGTTTCCCCTCAACCTGCCCCACAGTAAGAGGAACAGAACTGGAAATACTCCTATTTGTAATCAGCTGAGAGGAGGCGGAGCTTCCAGCAAATTTAGATGTCCTTGAAGTCAAGGGCAGAGGCCGAGGGAACCAGCCACACGTTCCCCAATCCAGGTGGGTGGGCTTGAACACCAAGGACAGCCACCCCACAAGGAGGATATGGCCCATTCTTCCTGGAACACTGGCACAGGCAGTGGTCCCTGGTGGTGCTGGACAGGCTTTATCTTCATTGATGCCTTCTCCCTAGAAAAAGACATCCGTGTGCTCAGAGGATTTACAAAGCACGATTACGGTCAGGTTCTTTAAGTAGGCTGACTCAATTAGTGAGGGGAGTCTCTACGGTTAGTAACTTTAAGCACTAAATCTATGACTTGAAACC